ACGTTTTATTCCATTGCACTCGCGGAGAGTGCAATGGAACGTGTTCCATTGCACTCTTGGGAAATGGAATTTTCTATTCAATATCACGTGACCATAAACAGCCAATTAAACGATTAGAATTTAATAAGGTATTATATAAAACTTACTAAGGCCAGCACCTATATGAGAACGTTATCCTTGACACATTTTAAGCGCATGCAAACATACAAAAAATCAACAGCAATCACATGCAGCTGTATTCAATTTGTATTGTTGAAAAAGTATGAAGTGTTATAGTATAATCTTGTTGCAGCGATACTCTTCCATAATCGTACAAGTATACATGCACAGGTTTTTTTAGCAGCTTTCAATATGTGTACAGTAACACAACTGAATTTCTCGTTAATAGATTAGTATATCCGTCGTTGACAGAAGAAGAAATCCTCTGTCATTCAAGGCTTGCTTGATGGAAATGAATGACTCACTTTTAGTTGACTTCCGACTTTCAAAGGTGCAGTATAATGTTTACGCTATATGCGTTTTTGCAAACTCTTCAGCAATGGTTACAATTTCATGGTTATAATTCCATGTCCTATGGACACTAAATATGCAAACAAAAGAAATCAATTAACATGATTGAAACCTAAAACAACCCTAAAGTATAACACAGTCCTTAAATCTGACTCTATGTACAGTATATCCGTTTGTTCGCGTCCGATCTGCATGGGATATACAACAACTCGCCTTCATTGCATAAATGACGTCATCCCAGGTCGATACACGCTTTATATATCGTACAGTAATTGCATTATACGTGCCCATGATTTATTTTAGAAATACTGTATACTATGAAACGAATCAAACAATGTTTTTTTAATTTTTTAGGGTGACGGTATTGAATTTAAGCGTCATTTCCTTGAGATCAAAAAGGCCTTAGGTGAGATCATTAAGTAACGAGCGGACTCCTTCTATTCAATAACTGCCGGGAGTGTCAGGATTTCCTGTTAGAACAGTTCGTCAAGTGCACCTAAATGAAAAAAGAATGACAAGAGTTTGATGAAATGTACAGGTATTCAAAATACAGTGCAGTAATTCAAATTACTAGCCAGTGTCATTCACGAGTAGGTAATCACTGTAGATGAAAACCTTCGTTTATTCAGCGTTTATTCCGAAACGAGCATTGGTAGCAGTTTAATTACGTACGTATAAACAAAAATAGGTTGTTCAAATTAAGCAATCGTTCACAATCATTTTTCAATCGTCCAGTTTCGAATTACCTTGACGGCCACCTCGGCTTTTTTATTAATATGCTTGTCACATGCATGAAACTTGGATACCATTATTTTGCATTTTTGCACACCACTATTAATGTGTAATCCGTATTGTTGAGGATTTTGTATTCTCATGGAAATAAACAATAACTGTTTGCATCGATTTATATTATATTGAAATTTATCGCTTATAAATATTTCGAAGGCAAGTACAAAACTAACCGTATAAAACTGTTACTATACAAATTTGACGCTACTTATGCGACGATTTAATTTTTAATTCCAATAGCCATCTAATCAAATCATCACTAAAGATTACCCCATCCATTTCTTGGTAAAATGAAGTAAATTAGGTGCAATAAAATTAGGAAATTATTAGTAAGAATTTTTAAAACTGCGCTGCTGATATGCAACACTCAAATTCCACCTAATATGCATTTTTATGAATTGAGCATTTGCACATGACGTCACAGCCGCCATGTTGGTGTTCCAATTCAGAATAATTTTAATTAGATTCTTTTGTCTGAACACCAACATGGCTGCCATGGCTTTTGTTGAGTTGGTTCCTTGGGAATGAGTGCAAACGCTCTATTTCGTGCAAACATAAATATGACATCACACCGCATTGCAAGTTTTTAGAGAGGTTTATAGTCTCGGAATGCTTTTCCAAAATATCTTAACATTTTCTTCATATAAATCCACAACCATGGACTCGTGTAGCCTCCTTTTGTGTTTATAGATGTACCAAGTTCAAAATTGTTTTTCAAAACCTCATTCTGTAACGTGATGCCATAAGTATAATATTTTGATGTCAAGCAAATTAAGTTTCAGATTAGAAAATTATACAAGGGTTGTTCTTTGGTTATCTGAAGTGAGCTTTATATATGTGAAAACGCTGCGATAAAATTTCATTTAAATTATATAAGTGAACCTGCGTTTGCTCGCATAGTCGCATCTACCCTCTAAAGAAGAACGTGCGTTTATATTAATATATAGACTGTAGTTAGTTTTTCAAATTGTTTTTATTCGTTTTGTTAATTTGTTAATTGTTATGTTGAGAAAGAATGTCGCACTTCAACCTGTATGTGCAGCGAACATTACTAACTAAAGATCATGCGGTTGCGACATTGACCGCAAAAACATTAAGATTTATGGTATCGGCTATAAACATTGAAGTAAATTATTTGAATATAAGGACCCATCCACAATTAGCAACATTTTTACAAGCATACATACAAAGCATATATTGACTCGGGGGGCAAGAGTTAATGACCAATGTATGCTTTTCAAAATGTTGAACTTATATAGTCAGACCAATCATAGTAGCCGGTTCCCCTTATTGCGTATTCTGAATACAACTACCAGCGTGCTTTTCGGACGTGGTATTGCATAATGAAGAAAATACCCGCAAAGTGTCATGGTAGTTTTATTCAGAATACGTAATAAGGGGCCTATATTCCAGAGGTTTGACATTTCTAGAGTGTGCTGTGGGAAGGCGTAGAAAAACGGTACTGGTTAACTTTCTATACGCTTGTAAAAATGTTACTGATTATGGAGAGCCCTAACTCGATATTTAAATGGGCACTGTAAATTGTATAGAATGTATCGTATAGTTTATAGGGATATAATGAAATTATATTATAGTTTATAGAGAAGAAAAGAAAAAGTCATATTTTTAGCAGACGTTATGATTGTCTTTCATGGGTGGTAATCTGAAGCAATCAAAATTATACTGTGGTTCCCAGTTGAGTTTGGAACGCCACAACGATGTTTTTTTCGACAATGTTCACTTCATTGAGTTTTGATCCGCCTGCAATTATACTATAATCTTACATAGGAGTTAAAAATAACAGTTGCCACACTCTTAATTGCTGTGAAGAAAAAGTACTATGACTTAATTTTAAACCCTATATAGTTATATTCCAATCAATACAGATTTCTCGTCATAAACTGGATTTATTTTAAGGTACGTTCGTTCCGTCAGGGTTCGCATAGTCGTAAGTATGTTCTGAAGCCGTATTGATAATCGCGTCAGGTTCATAACAGACGTTCTCGTTAGTATTAGATCCATACAAAACGCATTCGCTTGAAGCCGCGTCTACCGGTAGTTCATGATCTCTTTGGGATCTTGGAGTTATGTTTGCTGCAGGAATAAACTGGGTTTAGAGTTTCGGCTGATTTAACGGAAGGATGTTGTATGCCGTTGCGTTCATACAAATCTAGAAAAAATGGAACTATAAGAATTGCTTCAACCTCGTACCCAGGCTCTTTCCACTACGTGCCTCGCCAGCGAGGTATGCAGTGTGCAAAATGTGTTATTTGCGTGAGAACTAGTATTTATATATATTTATTATTCAGTTTTCGTAAACTAGTGTTCTGATTGGTCGATTTGTACCACGTGACTTACTTTTACATAACAACAATGCACGGCCGTGCATTATAGCCGTGCATGAACTTTTTATCGCACTGCAAGATGGCTGCTGAGTGTGAAAAGTTTTTGGAATTGTCCTCTGAGGAAATAGAAGCGATAATTTCGGAGGCAACGCCAACAAACAGAAAAAGAGCAACGGCATGGGGTATTTCGCTATTTAAAGGTGAGTTTTTGTTGTTTTTTTTTGCAGTTTACACGGTTAACGGTGACAATATGAAATGCTTGTTCTTTTATGGTTTACTCAAACTGAATATTAAAACGTTTAAAGCACTCTTTGTTCGTGCATTATCGGGATTTACAAGCACTCGTTCACGAACAAGAATCTCGAAATTTAACACTGCACTCGGCTGCGCCTCGTGCAGTGTTAAATTTCTTGTTTCTTGTTCGTGAACTCGTGCTTGTAAATCCCGATAATGCACTCCAAGAGTGCTGTAATCCTTAAATAATCACGTTGTACAAGTTTTCCATATTAATTGATATCTTATAAAATGGCTTTAGGATAATATTTGATACATACACATTTTTGAGTACTATATTTGTTAGGTCGGGGTTTGTGCTGTGTTAATTTTGGGTAAAAGTAGAATTAGTGTTGATATTAGGTTACGAGTAAGATATGAATCAACGCGAGCCGAGATTTAGTATTGGGATTGAATTTTGGCTAAGAAATTGCTGTATATGAGAGATAATTGCTAATATGCAAATTACTGTACCTATGTTTAGGGTTAGACCATATAAGGTTGTGATTGGGGTCAAAATCAAGAGAAATATATTCGTGCGCGATATGTGAGGATGCTATACCAACTAATTTAACTCAAAAAAACAACGACGACCTTCATTTTTTTATCAGTTTTAATTTGTCAGTAAAAATAATTATTTAATTAACCAACTTTTGAAAGATTCACCAGTGTAGAATTTGATTAATCGCAAAAAATTGTACACTGGTGGTTTTTTATTTGATAAAATAATTATTTTCGCTAATCGAAAACTTTCAACAAAATAAAAATGGGGATCGCCGTTGTTTTTTCGAGTTTAGATTAGTTTAAAGTAAACTGAAAAATGAGTCGTACTGAAACGGTCATGGTTACTATTGCAACGGCAGTGACGTTTCAGGATTGCTGCCAGGATAATAATTCAAGAAATTATTTTCACGCTTCTGAATAGATATTCTTATGTAAGGCACATGGTTAAAAAGGTTGTAAGAACTTACCATTCCTTGTTTCGTGCGCTTTCTTCATACAGCATCGATATCTATTACACGAAAAATGAAATGGTCACATGTTAGTATGCTATAAGCCTATATAATCCAAGGCCTATTTTAAGAATTTTCATCAGTGCATGCACACTTTGGAGAAGTGCTCATTTTCATGGGAGGAAGAAGAAACTGTGACCACATTGTACGGCAAGTGCAGAAATTTGGCTTCGGCAAGTTGCAGGGATCCACTTCTATCTCATGAAATGCTATTTCCTCAGAACATTTTCTATTTTAGGCAGATCTTATAAATAGTCTATAGCGCTCTCTTACAATGCAAAGTTAAAGAGTCCTGGTCAACCACAATGCAATGCGCGCTTTTGTTTACGTTTTTCCGTTACTTTTCTCAATTGTTGCCGCCATTTTCGATGCTACAAAAATGGCTGCCTCCATAACGTAACAGAAACGTAAACAAACGCACGCATTGCATTGTGGTTGACCAGGACTCTTTAAAACTGAAAGAAACACTTGGTCTTAGGTATAAGCGCCAAAACAAAAGACATTTTGATTAATATAAAACATGTATTAAATGTATAGTGTAATTATTCAAATCTATGTTAGTCAACATTTATTCATAAGTACGGTCTTTCACTGTCACGTGCGTGTTGTATTTTTGTCCAACTAACCAATAACAATGTAGCCCGCGTGCAGGCCCAAGGGAACTGATATCAGTTCCCTTGGGCCTACACGCGGGCTAATAACAATGTTTTAGGAATATTAACTATGCGTGACTCGAACAACAGGGTAAACTGGAAATTGCTATTCGTGGATTTGGCAAAAATACAATACGCATGTGGTGTGAAGGACCATATTTATGAATAATCGTTGACTAAAATTACACTGGCTGCGAAATTACACTGGCTGCAGCCAGTGTCATAATTTGCCCTTGCTGAAAATGCAAGGAATTTTTGGGTCCATTGCGGCATCGTGGGCTCAGGATTGCGCCAGCCTCGTACCCAGGCGCAAATAACGTACTAAAAATAGCAACACTACAGTGTTTTTATATAGATCAGTCCCCGCGCGCTCGCTCATCTTAGCCACTGATCTATATAAAAACACTATATTTTTAGTACGTTATTTGCGCCTGGGTACGAGGCTGGGATTGCGCAATTTAGCTAAAACATGCTCACGATGATTTAAGGACCAATTCTACACAATGCTATTCAGAACGAATTTCGATATGATATCGCTGAACTCTATTGGTTTTGTATGGATTTTTATTGTGCCGTCCTCTGAATGTTTGTGATCATGAAGTGACGGCCATCAAGAAGTGAAGAACATCTACATGTTTCAAATATTTTTGGAATATTGCAATTGCGATGGTATTTTACCAACCGCGAGGCCAGTGTGAACGCCTGAGCAGGCGTCTTGTTCTAATGAGTTTCCAAACCATCAATTCTATTAACTATATATGATGCATGCAAGTGGAATTTGCTTCTGCATAATTTTTTCATTTACATTATTAATAAGTAATAGTATGGTTTCTCGTGAGTAGTAATATAGAGGCCGTTCGACCCTTATTTTGTGGTGGCGTGTGGTGGTTTGTGGTGGTGTATCATCATTAGCATAGACTGTGGTGGCGCATCATTATATATGCAAGTAATTACTATGCAAGGGGGCCGCATCATTATATATGCAGGTAATTAAGGGTGCCGCACAAGTGAGGGTGCGTAATGATAACATACGTCATAATTATATGCAATGACGTCGTGCGGGCGAGCTTAAACACGATCGGGCGAAACTTGCTGACTACGCATTTTTTAGCGTCCCCCACGTGTGCGACACAATAGTTAGGGCTATATACAAGAGAATATGTTGTTGTCTGGAGTTTTATAAGTACAGCTCTAGCATTTTGCTGTTATTGTCAAGTGATTCCTTTAATTTAGCTCCTAGAGGAGTAAAAAATCTGATACTATATGAAATAGCATTAGTGTTATATATCTAAAACTTATATATTCGAGGTATACAGCTATATGTTTTGTTGTTAAGTAATATATAAATGTTATCAAGCGTCAAAACGCTGAGAAATAGCATGCGGTAAGAGTTATTATGTATCTACAATTAAACTAATATTTAAATCCCGGTCTGCCATATGAGGTCTATATACGAGAGAATATGTTGCTGTCTAGGGTTATATAAACACATGGAAATTAGAGGTTATGATATATAATTGTCAAGCGATTTCTATATTTTATTGGTAGTTTTTTAAAGTACTAAAACTCGGATAAGATTAATAAATTTAAGCTATATTAAAGCACACCGGTTTCTATGTGTTGTTAGGGTGACACTAATTAAAGGATTAACTTTTATCAGAG